TACATTTCACTCCCTCGTCCAAGTCACTGATGAAGACATTAAAGAGTATCGGTCCAAGGACCGAGCCCTGCGGGACCCCACTGCCCACACCCTTCCAGGTCGAAGCCGACCCATCCACCACGACTCTCTGGGTGCGACCCTCCAGCCAATTCGCCACCCACCGGACTGTGTAGTCATCCAAGTCACAGCCTCTTAACTTGTTCACCAGTACGGGGTGGGATACCGTATCGAAGGCCTTCCTGAAGTCTAAGTATACGACATCCACCCCTCCTCCTGTGTCCAGGCGTTTCGTAACCTGGTCATAAAAAGAGACTAGATTGGTCAGGCACGATCTGCCTGCCATGAACCTGTGCTGGTTTCCCCTCAGCATAATTTGTCCTGCCGGGCTCTCACAAATGTGAGCCTTGATAATTTTTTCAAAGACTTTGGAAAGGATGGAGGTGAGACTGACTGGCCTATGCCAGTGACTTTGTACTATGCTGCCCTAACCAAGGTCTTTTGTTGTCCCTCTAAGGGTTTAGTGCTATCCATACCTGCTGCCCCCACCATTTGCAGACAGAGTCCTTCTCCATTGCACCTCTCTCTGGGATTGCTTTTTGTTTCCTCCAATGTTTCTGTTACCCTTGGGTCCTTGTCTCATCCTTTCAGCTCCTGTGTTCCCTTTGAAGCACCTGCTACTTATGAGCAGTTACATTGCTACCTGGAATCACCCTGCCACTTAATGCTATCTGCAACTTCCTATTCCTAACCTTTCCCTTCCCACTTTCATTTCCCTTATAGGTGATCATTGCCGTCTTTTATCCCTTAGGCTGCCTATAGCCATATCACAAATTGCCCTTGCATGTGCAGCTTTTCTGTGTCTCCACTGGAAGAATCTCTGATTTAAGGTGTTCTGGAGGGGTGCTTGTGTGTGTTTGGGGTGGGCTGTAGGGTTAGATATGTCTGAACCAGTTTAGATAATATGGGTTTCCAGTAATACCAGATTATTTCAGTTTCACACTCTATCAAAATAGTCAATGTGAAAAAAGCTTTTATTACATGTAGACCCTTTTTTATAGTGAGGACCTGGCCTTGCAATGTTCTGAACACCTGCAACAGACCAAGAGCGCTCTTATTTTCTGTCCAGTAGGATTTGAATAATCAGGCCCACATTTCCAAAAGAGGCTTTTGTTGCCCAACTTGAGACACTCCTAGCAAATTACGTGTACCCTCAAATCCATGTGATTTCAACTGGAGTTGTGTCTTATGAAAACCTCCTGGGCTTTAATGTCTCTAACTGACTACCAAACAGTACTGACCAGTGTTGCCTTGTTTTTTAAGGCCTTAGGAAAGAGACCATTCAAATATTTTCCAACTAGTGAATAATAAGTTGAACTATTTTAATTCTAATGTATCTGAATTGTCACACAGGTAGGAGGAAAAGATACTCTCCTGTGGCATAAAGACTTTACGATGGATTTTCTCCAGTGGCAACTGATTCTTTTGTGTTCAGTCCTGGTTTGCAGTTGTTTTTTCTTGTCTTTGTTCTAGTACAATGAGGAGGGGGTCTCCTAAACAACAGGAATGATGGGAAATACTTGAGGCTCAAATGTTTAACAGTAGAGGAGCTAACTTCTGTAGTCCTTTTTTTCCCAAGTGGACTGATTCTTTTGGTTTGATGTAGTTGCAACAGCACCTTCCGTGATGGTGTAGCCTTGGCTAGGAAATAAACAAACTCTGTGTACCTCAGAATGGGAGTCGGGAGGTTGTGGCCCAGGACAGATAAACGTATACCCTGGAGTGGTTTACTTTGGTTTCCTATATTTGCGCAAGTTCTATAAGAGCCAGAATGGGCAGCAATTCTAGGGTGAATCTAATTGCAGGCAGTTATTGCTGCTCTTCACCATTAGGCAGCAGAAAAACATTCAGTAGCCTGTTTGCCTTTGCAAATGGCTACCCCAGGATGGATGTAGACAGACCAAACCTAAACTAATGTAACTTATACTGGTAGAGTTTTACCCTAAATTCTTTTAGTCCATTGGACTGTGTGAAGTTCTCCTGATTTAGGGGTTTGAATTGTCATTCCACTCTTTCTAAATACATGCTAATGCTAAATATATCTATGTAAACTGTTCATCTGTCCAGGGCCTGTGTGTATCAAGTAAGTATCTTCCTTCTCATCTGACCCATGTATCTTTTTTTAGCAAGTGATACCCTCTAGTCCTTAATCAGAAAAAAATGCTCATCAAGGTCAGTTTTACTTTTGTCAGACTCTGGGCTGCTGGATGGCATTTTAAATTTGTTAGATCAGTTTCTTTAAAAACAAATCCTTTTAATGAGGAGAATTAGATTCTTCCTTAGTTGAGGCCATGGTCACATCCATATTAATTGGAGTAGGCAACTAGAAACAAAGACTTGTGTTGATGAAGCATAAGGCATTTGATTCAGCATCATGCTTGATTGCATTACTCTAATAGCATTTCACTATGTATGACTGGTTCTTTTCAGATATTCATTTTCAATTCATTTATATCTAGAAATTTGCTTTGAAACCTTGAAACTGATACTGTTTTCTTTCTGAAGTATGGATAACATTCTAAAATGACTAAGACAATGAAAAGAGATCCAGTCATTTAAATATAATGACAACAAGCCAAGTGTTTACATATACAGTGAAAATCAACATATAAATCATATCAAGAATTTTTTTAGAAAGTTTTATTTTCTGCAATGTAGAAGAGAAGAACCACCTTATGGGCAATGGACGAAGTCCTTACCTCACTGAATATTCTATCTGCATTTGACTGCAGTGGGACCTGGATTTTTGTACCATGCACATAGAAAGTATTTGCCTATACCATTTACATTTACGATTTCAGCCAGGTGTGCAGCCAAATCATAAACTGTGATCTTATTCCTTTTCAGCAATGGAAGCATTCTCTTGTGGTTATCATTAATTGTGTTAATCTAATGATTCCTTGCAGTGATGGAGAACCTGTCAAGTTGATTGGTCATGATTGCTACTGCTGTCAGGACAGGGAAAGGGAGGGCCAGTTACTTCATGAGCAACAGGATTTGCATTTGTTTTTTCCTATTAACTACTAAATAATTGGTTCTTCACATCTTTTCAAATGCAGAAATAGAAAACATTTGTCATATACATTGAATGAAGGTTGAGCCAGATGACAATTGTCCATACTGTGGTACTGAAAAGACATGATGATTAAAAAAAGAAAAATTAAAACAGCAAACACACATGCCATGGCCAAGTTTTAAAAAAATTACTAGTGATTTTGGGTAACTCAATTTTTGGGAGCCAGAAAGAACTTAAGGAGAACTGATTTTAAAAAGGTTGATGCATAGCAACTTCTGAAAAACTGAAAAAGTGCCTGTAATGCACTTTACTGTTGGGCACCTAGGAATTGAATACTTTTTTTATTATTGAATTTGCAGGAAAGGATTATATACCATGGATATGATGTCATGCTGTCCCCCTCTCACATGCACACATCAGTAAGATGCCATGGCACACTCGGGTGCTTTGAGATCCTTTTAAGGGTGCTTCAGGTGCCATTTTGTGAATCATGTTTGCACACCTAACAGTAATAACAAGTATGCAAACACGATTCACAAAATATACCCAGAGATTTCAAATTGGAATCCATAGTGCTAAAAACACTCTGACCTATTGTGGTCTCTCTCAGTTCTTTTACAGAAAACAATACTTTATTATTTTCCTGTAGTAAGGAAGTGACTGAAAATTAAGGGCTGGCATTTTCCAAGAGGTGCTTTGAATCTAATGGGAGGTGCCTTGAGTCTAAAAAGATTGAAAATTTCAGCTGGTTTAGATTATTAATCAATCCTATCACATAAAGAAATGTTACGAATGTCCAGATTTCATTATGTAGCATATAGAAGGTAATTATGGAAAACCCTCTTTGTAAGGAGTCTTTCTGGGCATGTTTACACTTCTTCCATGGTGATCTTGTGGAAGGATGCCATACCATGGCTACCTACTTCCCCTCCTATCTGCCAAAGCTGAAAAGATGGTGAAGTTGCTCTGGGGTCAACTTCAGGGGCCATTCTGAAGCCCATAGAGATCCCAATAGCAACCATAGGCAGATACCCTATAGCCAGGTTGAAGCCCAACATGCAACTGTTGGGGGCTGGGAAATGGGGGCGGTGAGGCAGCTCTAGAACAGCCATCCCTGAGAGCTCTCTTGAGCAGTGTAGATGCACCTTTTTATGGTTTCGTCACTCAACATATTTATACTTCTAGCTAGTGTGATGCTGAAAGAGAGATGTTCTCATACAACCAAACTGTATTCAACCAAGATGTTTGCTGAAGCAGTCTTCTGCTCTATATGATTTCTCAGTAAAGATCTGCAAGAGACATGAAAAAATAGTGTTTTCTTTATTCAATAGATACGGAAAGAGATCAAGCCCAGAAACGCTGATTTCTGATCTTTTGTTGAGAGAAAGCACAGAAAATATTCCTCGATCTAGGTACGTATAGAAGTATTTTTTAATAATTTTTATTTCAAATTTAAATATAACAATTTAATTTAATATTCATAAATGTTTTCCATAGGCTGAAAAGATGTAAGCAGCAACCGTTAAAATACTGTATTTTAATGTCTGTTTTATTAAAAATGTTCCACTATTAAAACAAACAAAAACAAAAAACCACACACAACACACAAGCTGCCTAGAAACATAGGAGATGCCATGGTAAATCAGACCTCTGGTTCAAATCTAATGTAGTTCAATACTTTTGGCAGTGACCAGTACTTGGTATTAAAAGAAGGGAAGAATGTTTGTAAATGCACAGAATTCCACCCTTACTTGTCACAGCGATCTGTCTTTATTCTGAAACGCAAGGAACAATTTGAGGCATACAGTATTTCCCTGTTAATTGTTGATTTTAATTATACTTCTACTTTCGGAAGTCCTGGCTTCCCTTAACAATAGTTTTCAGTAGGAAAACAAACAATATTAATCTGCATGGAGATTACGTACTGCAACTATCTTTAAAAAATTACATTTTTCATGAGTGTTGAGCCTACATGAAAAAGATAACAAGATTGTAAGTTATGCATTTTTACTTTTGCCAATCAAAAATCTGAAAGCCCATGATTTGTGTCTTAATTTCTCATGACACCATTCAAAACACCATTGTAGTTGATTTGATTTAAATTTTTAACTAATGATATCAGTATAATGTTAATAGCTACAAAATGATATTATGGATGCAGAGGACCACTAGAAAGTCTAGGCATGTCTTGTAATCCCTTTTGAACTTGATTTCTGAGGGAAAAGTGGTACTTCATGGCTGCAATACTGCTGTCACTCTTCACAGGGATGAATTTCAGCCTCTCTGCCTATGTTCATTTAGGTGATTTTGTATGCAAGGTATAAAATATGCTATTGCAATAATGGCTGAAATTTAACAGTCTTGAAAAATTATATTTTTCCCTCAATTCAGTTAATTTTTTTTTTTTTTTTGGATGGGAAATATGTTTTTTCCCTAGAGGATCCTTTCCAATCTTATTTTCCTGTGATCTTAATACTTGTTAAGAATATACAGTATGTAAACTTTGACTGGTCCTTTTGAAAAACTTGTTGATAACACTTCTGTTGTAGAAATAAACTGTTTTTACAGTAGCCATGTCACTAGTGTGTAGCAGTAGTTTTCGACTTGTGGTCTCTGGACCCATGGAGATCTGCAGGCTATGTCTAAGGGATCCGTGAAAGATTACTATGATCAATGAAAAGTATGTAAATGCCCACACTTAGAATTCAAAGGTGTCCGCACCTCCATTCGAAATTTACACAGGGGTCTGCACCCCATCAAAAATTTCTAGGGGTTTGCAAATGAAAAAAGGTTGAAAACCACTGATATATAAGATGCAAATATACCCCCTAACCAAAAGTCTAAAACCAGTTGTGCTGCATAAGTCAATATGACCAAGATCAAGAAGAATATTCACCTGTCTAATGTTAAGTATACATGTAACATGAGCCCAGTCTAGGAAGCTCTCCGTGACCTGCCACATTATATCAATCTCAGTTGTTCATTCAGTAGACTTCAGGGACAGTCACCCAAGTACAGGAAAATATTTTCTTCGGAGTGACAGTATCACATTATGATTATGATGATGAAGGGCACCTAGTGGTAGCGTATGTGCAGATGTTTATGCCCACTCATTTTAATGTATACTCATTTATATATCCTCTAAACTGTAGTGAAATATTAGTGATTCTCGGTGCTAATTATCCAAGGAGCATTGTAAGTAGAATAGTCTAGTTCTCTGTATAGCTCTTCCCTACCCCCTCACAAGTGCTACAATGCTCTATTTATAATACATATAAGCATAATAGATCTATGCTGATAGCCTAAAACCAATGAACAAAATAATAAATCTGCATGCCCTTGAAGTGGAAGAACTGGAAGGAAGAGATCTTAGTTTTAAACCCTTGGATAGGATCTTATAAATAACAACAGAAAGATAAAGCAAGATCCAATGTTAATAAAACATTTAAAGCTGCTTAGAAGTAGTTGTAGGCTTGAAGCAATATAATTATGGATATATTTAATAAACAGATGTACATGCTGCCAGTTAGACAATAAACAGAATTTCCTGTGGGTGTATCTATAGTAGTTGGCCACATTTCATGACTTGCGTACAAACCATCTTTTTCACCAAATTGATGTAGTGTTACAAACAGCTGAATGGCATTCAGACAAGCTGGGTCACTGTTGGTGCCCACATTCTTGCTAGATAACAATGAGAAGGTGAGATCCTTGTCTACTTATTAGGTGTCTAAGTGATCCTATCCCACTATGTTCAAGTCCCTAAAATTTCATTAATGCCATCTGTTCTATTATCACACAAACAAACAAAACCCCAGAAACTCCAAAAGTGGGAAGGAAAAAAAAATTCATCCAACTTTTATATGAACTGTTTTTCAGGTAGAATAGTAAGGTAAAATAGAATTACACGTAGGGGCCTAAATCCCCTTACTCACAAAAGTAGAAATGAGTGTCTTGAATTAAAACTGTGAATATATGGCCATCAAAACAGAAAACGTCCCAGAGCAGTTGGAAGTAAACGTTCAAGGGAATAAAGGGAAATATTGATTATTATATGAATAGCTCCCTTGTTAAAATCTTGTGCAAGTGCCCTGGTTTTCATCTTGTAGATCATGAAGTATGTGTACAGTCTGTCTCAGTTATATCCTTCCATATGCACAGAGGACAAATATCTACATACATGAATATGAAAGGTGAAATTCTTTCCTCAGAATTTACTTGTCATGTTTAAAAATTTGCTAAAATATTGAACTGTAATGCCCACTGTAAAACTTTTGTAGTTATTGCTCTTACTTCAGGTTGAATTTTTGAAGAAACTACGTTGTGGGAAAGGAGCTGTATAGCTTAACTACTTTTGCTAGCTCCCCTTTTGAAAAATGTCAGTCTTATTGCTTAGAAAGAGCTAAAATGTCTCCTAATACATTTATATCTTAACATGGCATTGTATTCTAGGAGACATGCAGTAAGTGTTATCTATTCATGTAATATTATTCAGCAATGAGTTTTAGTGCTAAAAAGTCGCAGCATCAAAGCAGCAACAGCACTGCAGGGTGCATTTTTATACTTATGGGTGTGGATTTAATAATCTGGTTTCCATATATTTTCATGGAAGCTGAGCACTGCAATATTCAAAGATCACAGTAAAAATGTGATCTGTCGGTTTCATTGAAGTGAGAACTTCTATAATTTTTAAATGTTAAATATCACTAGTTAGCTAAATATCTATTTGATTCTAGCCATAAGCCTTTAAAAAAGACTTCCTAACATATTTAATGTGTTTTTAATCCATAATATGTGTTACAGGTTTGAAGACCCTTCTATGTGGTGATGGAAATTACAATGCATCGTCAGCCTTTTGCTAGTTTTCAATCCATATTTCATTGCTCTAAGATAAATTGGAGTTTAACATTCCTCAGTGCATGCAGTCATTGTACTGAATTCTGTAAAGTTTTCTGTCGTCATACTTGTATATACATTTATTTAAATAAATTATTTGTGCATTCCAAAATGTAACATACTAAATGAAAAACAATGACACTGTTACTGGTAAAGATTTGTTTTAAACTATTAAAATCGAACTACAACCTCCCTGCAGTCTAAAGTAGCACGCACAGTAATAATTTCACAAATATTACAGTAATTGTTGCAACAAGTTAGATAATGACAACTTTTACTTAAGTCTTTAAGTCAACTTTACCATTTTGATTAATACAAAGTTATTTAAGTTTCATAACATTCATTATACGCTACATGATTTAGGAAAAATAAAGTGGCCTGAATACTGTTTTTTCTTATAATCCTCATACGCAAACATTAATATATTGGTCTGTGCAAGTAATAAATTTAATAGCATTTTCAAAATACAAAGAAGTTCTATGGACTATTAGTTCTGCTAAAAACCTCATGACAGATTCAGAGTTTTAACTTTAAATATAACCTTTTTGTTTTGGTTACATTCAAAGTGGGAAGGATTAATGTCACTTCCAAATAACATACGAATATAATTAGAAGTATTTGTAGTAGAAAGAAGTACATTGTATCTACTTTTCATTGGTAAGCATGTGGAATCAACTGCTGCTGACAAAGTCCTGTGTAACTGCACCACATGCATTAGGAGGCTTTCGTCCCATGCAACCTTTCCTTTTTTCTAAGAACAAAGAGAACCTTAATCAGATATACCAGCAGTGATACTTTTTTAGAGACCATTCTTCCATTATTACATTGTGAAATTCCCATTACCCTTGAGGGGAAGTTCTTGAGGCATTATGAGCTGGGAAGAGCCATCAGATTTTAATTCAAAACAACTTAATAAGAACATATTCAGTATGTTGTTCCCTCATTGACATCAGCAGGAGATGCAAAAACAGGTGTACTTCAGATCCAAAATTGTAATTTAAAAATCCCTGCTCAAAGGTTGCCTAACTCTGGAAGTATCTAAATGCACTCAGTGCCTCTTTTAACTTGGGACTTCCCTAGATGCTTGCCTTTCTGCCTTTTTTCCCCTGTGTGCAGAGCTACCTTGATCTAAATAACTAGATGCCTACCTTGTGCTTAAGTCTCATCGGGATCCAGAACTAGGCAGAGCAGTGCTTTGTCTCCTGAAGGGAGTCCAATCTACTAGGTATGCTCTGTGTGTCAAGTGCATCCTGATAGCATTGAGTTCAGCACAACACAAAGCAGCCACAGCCACTTGCATTTAAAAGTATGGCAATAGGAGCAACTATTGTTGCCTGGCTTTTATGTAAGAACACAGTGGTTTAGAGCACTTGCTCAGGAAGTAGGAAGAAGATTCCTAGGCTCTTTTTAGGCTGCAAGGATGCCAAATCACATTTTCCTTCACATTCTCCTCTACAGGCATGTGCTATAACCACCAGTCTAATGAAAAGGCTGGATGGGAGCACCCTCCAGCCTCCTGTTGAAGTTAGGCCATTGTACAGCAAGAATGTAAGGTGTATTAGGCCAGAAGGGAAATAAGCAAGTGGGAGCTTGACTCTGTAGGCTAGTGGCTGGGACACTCAGCATGGAAGCAGGAAGTCAGGGGTTGTAGTATGTATCCCCTAGGTGTTCATGTATTATGTTAAAGAGTAACTGGATAAAAAACTAGAAATAAACCTAAGGCTGGGGGCCAGAACTTGTAACTCACTCTATTCACCTGGGAGTCTGACCACTGAGTTAGGGTGAGATGGTTGCTTGAGCTTGCTCTTCCTGGCCTTTTGACTCATGCATTCCTTTCTTAACAGTGGTCCAGCTTCAACAGGAGGGGCAGAGGTTGCTACCTGGAGATTTGGGCAGTCTCATGGGATATGTGGGTTCCAATCCATACAAACTCAAGGAGGTAATAGAACCTGTGTCCCATCCATTAGGCCAGTATGTAAAAGGCAGGCGGGTCCTCCTTGCAGCTGAATTTTTAAAAGAGTGATCCCTGCTCTGTTCTTTCAAAAAATACTTGTAGGTGTTTTCCTTTGGTGAAGGACTTCAGGTTCTAGTTCTTGAGTGGATGGATATGCCTCCTTTGCAACCCTGAGTCACAAGCCAAAGGTCAGAAGAGAGGTAGGAGTTCAAACACAGCCCTGTCCTTGAGGTTCCCTATTGATTAGCTCTAAGTGGCTTCTCACCCAGCACTCTTTTTTTTAAATCCCATTTTGAGGTGCTTAATTCTCTTCACATGCTGCAGAGGGATGTGAGGTGCCCAGTTCTGAATTTAGGACTCCACGCCAGGGGCTAAGGGTAATGCAGCACCTACAATTGGAGCTAGTAGACTGTTCTCAGTGAGAGAACAAAACAAGGAAGAATGGTCTCAAGTCATAGCAAGGGAAATTTAGGTTGGATATTAGGAAAAACTTTCTCACTAGGAGGGTAGTAAAGCACTGGAACAGGTTACCCAGAGAGGTTGTGGAATCTCCATCCTTGGAGATTTTTAATACCCAGCTAGACAGAGCCTTGGCTGGGATGATCTAGTTGGGGATGATCCTGCTTTGAGCAGGAGGTTGGACTAGATGGTCTCCTGAGGTCCCTTCCAACCCTAAGTTTTTATGATTCTAGGTATATAAATCTTTCATTATATCTAGCCCTAAGTATTCAAAATTGTCAATAGTCACTTGAGTAATTTTAGGCACTTCATAGAGGGTAACACAGATTCCATGTTCTTTAGTATTTGAACATTAGCAATCATTGCATATGTACTGTGTGAATGAACATGTTTGAAAGTTGGATTTACTATATACTTCACACCTGTTTCCCAAATGTTGTAATAGTAGGAAAGCACAAATACATTTGAGTGGGTGATCTTTCAAAGTACACTCTGGATGTATTTGAGAAGTATTAACATTCTGCTGCTTCTCAATATTTGCCAGCTGTTATATGTCATGTTTACTTTAATAGAATGAAAATAGTTTTCATTTAAAGAAAACACCTGAATTTCATTTTAATCAGCAAATTATGTTTTCAACAGCTATATTTTCACTTCATTAGTTTAGACTCTAGACTTTGCTATAATGCATTCCTTACAAAAACTGAATTTAAGAAGACATATATTGTGTTAGAATTTTGTATATGCATCATGTATGCTATATACATTACTGATTGTGGGATGATAATTAGATGAGATTGGCCTGAGTCAAACCACTTTTATATTTGTCATACTAAAGCTGCCTCCCATTATCTTTCATACATATGTCTTACTAGAGAAAAGAAAGGTTACAGAAGAAGAATATGCACAAATTGCATACTCTGTGCAGTTCCTCTCAATTATATGAATTTTCTTCATTTTAGGGAACAGACACCTGTGTAGAAAAGCTGAATAAATTTCTAAGTGGTTGCATTTGTTTACCTAATTGTTTTAATGAGAAATGGTTGGTAGCAGCAAAGCAATCAACCTGGTATAGAATATATACAAAAAGTGTGTGTGTGCATGAGTATACCCAAACACACATTGATACAGGTCTGGAATTTTCTTTCTAAATCTTCTTGTGGTTTGTCCAGAGCAAACACAGTATTGAGCAATTTTTATCTATGGAACTAAACTTCCATTCCTTGTGTACTTCCTGCTTTAAGTTTCTTAAGCCACAACATTCAAAAGCAAGTCACGCTACCCCAAAGCATGAGGTAATAGCAAAATATTAAATGTTGGCTCCTTTTCATTTGCCTTGGTTTCTTGAGCCTTTATGGTTCATGTTTTTTCTCCTCTATTCATAACAAGATGTTAGTTCAAAAAATCCAAAAGCTGAGATTGAAAACTCAAGGAGGCTGAGGTGTAAGAGGAAAATTGAATAGCAAGAGACTCACGATAAAATATGAAAACTGGCAAAACGTCCTACTTCATTCACTAGGAGCCTGAGATTCACAATAAGTGCAGGTAGGTGTGAAACGTTTCAATGACAGGACAATTTTTACTATTATATTGTTTTATATTGTTCTATTGCTATAGGTTTCTATTATAGATGCTTTTACTTCTGGTAATATTTCCTTGATACTTCATTAAATGTTCCCAACTTTGAAGACTGGTGTGTAAGAGAAGAGGAAAATTATTTCTCTCTCTCTCTCCCCAACCCATCCCATCCCATCTTTTCAGAATCTGACAGTCTTTTATTCCACACTTGCCAGTTTTCCACACAAACGCAGAATTTCCCTTTTCGTAAACCTGACTCCCTCAATGTTGCTAATGAAGCTGGAGTTGAAAACACTTTAGATGACACTTCCTCCTGCTTCCTCACTTGAATTTCAGCCTTGTGAGATTGAAAAAAATCCTCTCTCATTGGCTGTTCTTCCTCCTTCCCATTTCCTGCTGGGACAAGCTGATCAGAACAGCTGCAGGAGGCAAGCTGAAGTCCATTCAGAAGCTGAAAAGAGTTTTAGATGGGGTAGGGTGGGAGAAGAAACAGCTGATATTGTTCAAGGGGGAGCAGAAAGAGCTCCACAGGGCAGCTCTGCTAAATCTGCTCCCTCCTTTTCTATTTACTCGCTACCATTCCCCCACATTCTTCCGCTCGACAGTACTGGTTTGGGTAGGGATAGAAAGGGAAATTCTGCATCCTCCCTCCAGGCTTCAGTGAGGGGGTGCTGAACCTCAGGAACTGCAGAGGTAGAGTTGGAAGGGGCAGACTAGAGGTCAGAGTTGGGAAAACAGCCAGAGCTGGGGGCATAGTTAAATTGATGTGGGGGTAAATCATTGGTAGAGGTGCTGACAAGCTGAACTAATTGTGGGCTGGGGATGCACAATAAATAACTGGGGTGAGACATGGCAGATGTCAGGCTAGATTAGCATTTGAGGAGAAGGTTTTGCACCATTGGGCAGCCAGTGAAAGCACAGCAGTCTCCAAGAGCATGTCAGTTTAGGAGAATTAGCAATGCTATTGTCCTATGTGCACAATAGAAGGGGAAGAAAAAATTCCTAAATAAAAAGACAGGCCAAAAACCCCAAACAAGCCATTTGTAATCCTTTTTTTCCTAAGAAGAAACCCATCCCCCATGATTTTGGGGGCAATTTACTGATTTTATAGGATCCAATTTAGGATTTTTGAATTTTTGTGGTTGGCAACACTGCACCCTTAACTCTTCTATGTGGGATGAAGGAACCATGCAACAAAACCCTTCCTCACCTGCTCAGCCCTCCCTTCTCTCATGTGCTATCTAATACAGTAGTTCTCAAACTTTTTAGATTCAAGAAACCCCTCACTAGA